AAAATATCCAGCTTTTCATTGTATTCTTTTTGGTTCTGTTGATCCTTAGCATTATTCCTTGAACGATGTTTTATTAGTCCAACATGCTATGAGTAAAGATCTTTAATCTTTTGAACAATATCTGGTTTGTGTCGGACCGGTAATCTCGATTTCATCCAGAAGGGCAGTAGTTGGTTGTGTACTTGCTGTGCACTCTGAGCAACTGTCAGTTTCTGCTTCCTCTGGAAGTAAACAAAATTCTGCATAACATCACGACCTGAAGGAAGGCGAGCTCCAGTTATTATGTCACATGGATGGCCAATCAATCAGATCATGTCGGTACTTCGAGTTGTGTTAGGTTTACACTTTGCTATTGCTCCACAGTCTTTACTCTACAATAAAAGTAAAAAACTTGTAAAAATTAAATATATAAGATATCTAAAAAATCTGTTTTTAATAATTTTTGTTAAATTTCTGCTTAAAACACTTGTCACTTGTAGAATATAATCTTTACTAGTATTTTGTTTTACATGTATAGCTATTTGAACAGTACCAAACCCTCGGAATTAGGGTCGGCAGTATGGCACGATGCACCATCTTGTTAATATATAACATTGCTGTTTTCTTTAAATGCATCAAAATTTCAATATATCTATCAGCATTGAGTTGACTTTCAAATAATTGTTAGCATCTCAATCCTGCATATGCTGTCTCAGGCCTAAATTCCTACACTGCCACTACCTTGCTTGGTTCATTTTAATGTACAATTTGTATCAAATGAGGTGATTGCCATAACATAACATGGCATTTTCGCATATCTACCTCAACATTCATTTCATTTGAAAATTTTATATTTCTCCACTTGCAATCAGGCCTTTTTTTATGTTGATTGCACTAGGCAATCCTTGCTTTTTGCTGTTTTTTCTAAAGTCTTGGTTTCTTGCATGCAGATCGCTACATATAATAATTTCTATGAAGAATTCTTTGAACACTTCTTACACTCACATTTATTCTAGAAGTATTGTTCAACTTATGACAGAGAATTTTTGATGATAATTTCTGTCATGTTTCATTAATCCTTTATCTTTTTATGTTGTTGCAGTTGGCTGACAAGATCATTGCTGATCCTTAATATCACCTGTTTCAGTAAAATATTTTAAAATTTGTGCAACAAGCAAATATGGGATATTTAACTTATTGGTTAATGAGATAAGACAAAGAGTCTTTGGTTTCAAAGAAAAATAGAATTGTAATGTGTTTTTTCAGAGATTTTCAACCGTATTTCAAAATAAAAAATTTAGAGTTAATCTATGCTGATGAAAATTAATTAAAATTTATCAAAAAAAAAAAAATCAATATATTACATTAACTTTGAAAATAAAGCAGAGAGCCTTAATTTATGACCGACATAAAAAATCAAAGTAATATAATAGATGATATAACGTTACATGTAATTAGGCATACAAAATAAAATTTTCAAGGAAATAACATATCAATTAAATAGTAAACATGATAATTATTTATTAGAACTAATAAAATATTGAAAAAATTGAATAGTTTTCGAAATAACTTTAATCAAACAGGATTTTTAAAAAAAAAGTGATCTGTATCTCTCTCTCTCTCTCTCTCTCTCTCTATATATATATATATATATATATATATATATATATATATATATATATATATATATATATATATATATATATATATATATATATATATATATATATATATATATATATATATATATATATATATATATATATATATATATATATATATATATATATATATATATATATATATAAATATATATATATATATATATATATATATATGTATATATATATGTATATATATATATATATATATATATATATATATATATATATATATATATATATATATATATATATATATAAATATATATATATATATATATGTATATATATATATAAATATATATATATATATATATATATATATATATATATATATATATATATATATGTATATATATATATATATATATATATATATATATATATATATATATATATATATATATATATATATATATATGTTTAAACAATTTTAAAAATGTATTCTACAAAATAGAGTGCTCAATGTTCTTAAAAGAACAGAGCAATTATAAATTATATATATATATATATATATATATATATATATATATATATATATATATATATATATATATATATATATATATATATATATATATATGTATATATATACATATATATATACATATATATACATATATATGTGTGTGTGTATGTGTATATATATCTATATATACCTATACACACACACATATA